GGAAGAATGAAATGGAAGTTATGAGAAAATGGAAGAAAGGGGTCTCTATTTATATAAAATGGGGACCATTGGGTTTGCACCAAGTTGTAAAATCTGGTGAAGAGAGAGAAAGTTGAGTGAAAAATGAGTGATTTGACACGACGCGATGACAGCGCGAAAAATGGAGGAAAAATTCTACCTCCAGCGGCAGTTCTCCACCCAAGGCGGTGACACACTACTTGAGGTAGTAGTGCGCCTCACCAGGCCACGTGCTGCAGGCTTAGCTTGCCGGCACTGGCCTATCCTACTGTGTGCAGGAGCTATTTTGCGCAGGCCTACTGCACAGACGGCGCACGCACAATGCGCGGTGCTTGGCCCTGTCCGCACGCGATACAACGCGCGCGCAGGACCAGCCCTGCACCCCACGCGGATGAGACATACGCACAGTGCACACATCCTGCACTTGGTTGCGTTGCCTATGCAGGCGAACCTCACTTGCAGGTGTTTTCTCGCGAAATTTCTCCCATTTTTTCGTTTTTTCCTTAAAATTATTTTTTTAATAAAATAAAATAAAAATAAAAATAACAATAATAATAAAAATAAAATAAATAAAATAATAAAATCAATATAAAATTAAAATTACGAATTACGATATAAAGCTATGAGATAAATTTAAATAAGTTTATGTGGCCTTAAGTTCCGAATAAATAGTAGTTTTCAGGTACAAATTTAGTGTGGTAGTGAGCGGGGTGTTACATCCCCCCCCACCTTAAAAAAATTTGGTTCTTCAAATTTGTTTTGAATAGGTCAGGGAACTTCTCTCTTATCTCACTTTCCAACTCCCACGTCACCTCTTCCGGAGTATGGTGCTGCTACTGCACCTTCACCATGGGGATCATTTTGTTGCATAAAACTTTGTCGGTCCAACAAAAATTTTTCATGGGGATTTCCTTGTAAGTTATGTCAGCTTGTACCTACGTCTCATCGTGAGGAATGATATGAGAAGGGTCAGGGTGGTACCTTTTGAGTATGGAGATGTGGAAAACATCATGTACACCCACAAACTCTCGAGACAGAGTAAGGTGGTAAGCTATGGGTCTAATATGCTCCACGATCTGAAAAGATCCCACATAACAGGAGCTTAACTTTTTTTTTTTCGAATCACATTTTTTCTTTGCAAGAAAAAACTTTAAGGAAGACTTGGTTTTCAACAGCGAATTCCAAAGGTCTCCTACGATTATCGGGTAACTAGTCTGGCGACTCTGGGCGGTAGCCAAGTTCCTATGGATGATCGTAACCTTCTCAATAGTCTCTTGGATGAAGTTTGGTATCAAGTGATGCTGGTTTCCAACTTTGCTCCAACAAGTGGGAGAATGACAAGGCTTATCGTACATGGCTTCATACGGAGCCATGAAGATGGCAAAATGATAACTGTTATTATAAACAAATTCACACAGAAAAAGATACTCATACCAGTAATCGCCAAAGTCGAGGAGGCAAACATGCAACATGTCTTCCAATATTTGTATAGTGCGTTCAGACTGACTATCAGTTTGGGGATGATAAGTAGTGTTGAAGTACAATCCAAATCAAAGTGCTTCTTGAAAGTTGTCCCAAAAGTGGGAGGTGAATCGAAGGTCTTGATCAGACACAATAGATGAGGGAACACCATAGAGTCGAATAATTTCATCGACATAAAGGCAAATTAATTTGCTAGAGGAGTCAGTGGTCCTAATGGGTAAGAAATGAGCGTCTTGATTAGTCTGTCAACGATGACTCAAATAGTATTATGACCAGAACAGGACTTGGGCAAGTTAGTGACAAAATCTATGGTTACATACTCCTACTTCCATTCCAGAATCGGGAGGCCCTATAACAAACCACCAAATCTCTAGTATTCTACCTTAATTCTCTGACAAGTAAGACATTAGAAGACGTAGTTAATAATATCCTTCTTCATTCTTGGCCATCAGTATTGGCGCTTCAGGTCCTGGTACATCTTGGTATTTTCGGGGTAGATGGATAATTTGGAATCATAGGTAGTCTTAAGAACATCAATCTTGATAGTGACAGGGATCCAAATTCAATCTCGAAATCAACACAACTCATCATATGAGAGTCTGAAATCATAAAACTCATCATAAAAAAATTTACTCAAA